TTTGGTGTGGTTTTCTCTCTCCAAGTCTACTGGCCATTTCGCATGTGAATGGGAACGTGTGTATGCCATGCTGGATTCGTTTTCAATCAGGCACATWACAGTTGGTATCGGAGCCACGACCGCGTGCATCTGCGGAACGAATTGATTGGCCATCAACTATCTGGCCGGCGGTTGGCGGTTTGGGGCGGTGCCCCGCTATCTTCAACGTTGATGGCGGTGATAGTTGCTGAATGATTGGTGCGCATCGGCGAGAAAAAGAAAAAAGAAAAAAAAAGAAGAAAAAAGAAAAAAAAAGTGGAGCGGTTCCCGAATTGAGCGGATGTCGGTGGTATTTGACTAGGACGTCAACCCTAATCAGCATCGCTGTTTGACTTGAGGGTTTCGCGGCCCTCAACTGACAGGCACTGCCTGTTGGCCGTCTACGGGATTGAAGACCCCACTTGGGGAATATCACTTTGCAGCAGAATTGAGCGGCGAATCACCCGAGAAGGTGGATTGGAGGTCAGCGAGGATTTTGACGGGGCGCTGACCGACGGCGAGTCAGCCAGGCCCCTTTATCTCAGTCGATGGTTTGACCGGCGACCTTCTCCAATCAAGACCTTGATCGAGTGAGTTCGTTCCGACGACCAGTTCACTTGACGTCAGTCCGTCGGTCTGTCAGAAATGGCTGCCAATTGTCAGTCGTCTAGAGGGTGCTGCCTGTTTGTCAGTCCGGTCGTCGTTGGTAGTTTTTTTTTCTAATGTGTTGACTGTTAGATTTTGCGGTTGATCGTGGTTTTGAATCTGCGTACGGTTTGGTGGCGGTCCTTGTGCTGTCGGACGGCCTATTTCCGGTCTGTCGCGTCAGACCTGGTCCTAGTCCAGGTCAGTCCTTTCAGTCCTGAAACGTCGCCCCGCTGTGTCAGAACGGTCTGCCCCATGACTCTGTCTCCGCAGTCTATCATACTTTGTTAGTCAACCGAGTGATCGACAGCCAGCTAACTGCTGCTTGTTCTCTTTCTCTGCAAATTGAAATAAAGTTCTCCGGCAGTTTTCTTTTTTTTTTCTTCTGCGTGAACTCGGAATTTCTCACCCTGCTAATTTGTGCTGGTGTTCTAAGGAAAATCCGGAAAGGATTTAATCAGAGATTATTTTCTTTTTGATTAGTTTGCTGCGTGCGGTAACAAGGAAATCATTGGTTGATTTTGCTGCTAAACGTTGCTAGCAACCTCCCTGAGCACCTACAGACACTAAGCACTAATCTGCCATCTGTCTTAACCCTTCTCTTAAAACTGAGTAAACAGTACAGCCYSATTCCGATTAGCTTGTTGTTCTGTGTGTGAACGCTAATCCGAATTTTTATTTTATTTTGGGAAAATAACACATTTGGGTATGGCTAACGGCGCAGACTCTGGCGGTTCTGGGGAGGACAGAGGCAAAGATCCCGTTATCCCCAAAACCGCCATTGAGCTGGCGATTGAGAAGGAGGAGGCGGCTGCAGAAGAAAGCCGCAAGAGAATTGAGAGATTGAAGAGAGAGAAGGCTGAGGGAGATAAAAAGGCTCAGGCAGAAGCAAGACGGGCAGTGCTGGCAGAGCATTTCTTGGCCGCTGAATCTGATGAAAGGTTCAGCGACACCAACAAGAAAATGGCTAAGTGGATCCGCTTGGAGTTCACGTCAATCAGAGATGCCCTCACTGCCTGGATGGACCGGGCTGCTGCACTAGAAGACCGCTTGACTACAGTTGAAGCCAAGCAGTCTTCTATTGTAGAGTCACTGGATCGAATCGACCAACGTCTCACTACATCTCTTACCTCTCCCCCTGTTCACTCAGTCAAAACCGAACTCAAACCGGTCTCTACTCCGCCTACAACACCACACGCTTCGCCCAAAGGGAAACCTGCTTCCCCAAAGCAGCAGATTGTCCCTGAGGACCTGAAACTTGGCGCTGGCAGTTCAAGCCAGCAGGAGCAACGTTTCCCCAAGATGATGCAACCAGACAAATTCACTGGCGACGACGCCAAAGTGTACGTGTCAGATTGGATCGCTTCCATGAAGTCCTATCTGAGGGGATTCACCTGCCCAGAGGTCAACAAGGTGCAGTCCACTGTGGCCCTATTAGCGGGGTCAGCATTGAAGTGGGCGACCTTTGAGGCCACCAAGTCTCAGCAGCAGTTATCGGATTGGGCTGTTGCAGTGGGTTTAGAGACCATCTTCCAGGGCCTGGAGCCGAGGTTTGCAGATAAGGAAAAGGCCTGCAAGGCTGCAGACGAGCTGGTTAGTCTTGGCCAGACAAAGTACAGGGGTTCCCTGGCCAAGCTCTATGCAGAATTCGAACGTCTTACCTCTACTCCCGGTTTGGAGATGTCTGACAAGGACCAACTAACTTGGTTCATCAGGGCAGCTCCTGAGAAATATACCACGGCCCTGTATTTTGCCGGACACAAAGACTGGCGATCTTTTGGCAGAGCAGCCTTGGACATGGAGGCCACCCTCCATGTCCAGTCCACTCCCCAGAAGGGAGGCAACCCCTCTTCCCAGAGTAGGAGGAAGGAAAAGGGGAATTTGTATGCCATGGAGTCTGATGATGACTCTGCAGGCACTAGCCAGGGAGGATCTACTCCCCCAGCTGGCCAGGGTGCAGGGACATCAGCAGACCAGGCTGCTCACGTGCTGGCCCAGGCACTACTAGCCCTCACAAGAGGCAAGCAGTTCCAGGGACAAAAGTCCTCYAGTCCTAAGRGGTCAGGCAAACGCCCCSGTGGTCYGCAACAGCAKAACCTCCCGAAGTTTGCCAAGTGCCCCGCCAGTCCCTTGGACATTTYCTCTGCTCCTTGGAGGGATYTMAGAATCCCAGAGGGCGTATGGCAAAAGAGGAAGGAAAAAGGGGTCTGTTTGAGGTGTGAGGGCAATCACTATGTCAAGGATTGCCCTAAGCTGAACTACAGCAACTGCAGCCATTCAAAAAACTGAGCAGGCCAGCAGAGGCTGCAGCCAGCCCTGCTGAACTGAATCCATCTCCTTCAGGAGGTGAATCAGCTATTGAGTCTGATTTTTCTGAGGCTGCAGGGGACTCAATCTACTCTTATATTGAGCCCCTT